AGCCATAATAGGACGTCTTTACCTTGTTCCCAATTTTAGGTAGAAAGTGCTCAGTTTTTCACCATGAAGTATGTCGATAGCTGTGGATTTTTTTGTAGATGCGCTTATCAAGTTGAGAAAGTTCTCACCTATTTCTAGTTTGCTGAGTTTTTATCATAAACGAGTGTTAAATTTTGTCAAATGCTTTTCCTTCATTAGTTGATATGATTGTATGATTTTTTTTGTTAGCCTGTTGATTTGTTGGAATACATTGCTTGCTTTTTGAATAATGAGCCAGCCTTGCACACCTGGAATAAATCTCACTTGGTTGTGATATATAATTCTTTTTGTATATTGCTAGGTTCAATTTGCTAAAATTTTGCTGAGGATTTTTATGTCTAAGTTTATCAGAGATAGTTGTCTGTAGGTTCCTTTTTTGTGCGATTTGTCTGAATTTGGTGTGAGGGTAACATTGGCTTCATAAAATGAGTTATTCCTTCCTCTTCTTTTCTCTGAAAAAGAGAGTATAAAATTAGTGTGAATTCTTCTTTAAGTGTGTAGTAGAATTTGCCATTGAAACTATCCAGGCCTAGGAATTTGGGGATGGGAACTTCTAAATTATGAGTTTAATTTCTTTAATGGTAATAGGACTATTCAGAAGATCTGTTTTGTCTCGGTTAAGATTTGGTAGTTTGTGAATTTCTAGTGTGATTGGTCCATTTCTTCTAAGTTGTCAAATTTATGAGTGTAAAGTTGTTTGTCGTGCCCCCTTATTATCATTTTAATGGCTGTAGCATCTGTACTGAAATCTCCTATTTCATTCCTGATATTGGTGATTTGTGTCTTCTATTTTTATCAGTCTTGCTAGAAGTTTATTAACTTTTTGCTTTAAAAATAAGTTTTTCTTTATTGATTTCCTCTATTGTTTTCCCATTTTCAATTTCATTGATTTTTTTCTTCTTCTGCTTGCTTTGGGTTTATTTTGATCTTCTTTTTCTAGTTTTTTGAGATGGTAACTTAGGTTATTGGTTTGAGAATTTTCTCTTTTCTAATATAACATGTATTTTCCACTCAATACTGCTTTAGCTGTAACCTCCAAATTTATGATGTTGTATTTTCACTTTCAATTTAGTTCTGTGAATTTTTAAAATTTCTTTTGAGATTTCCTCTTTCACTCTCGGATTAGTTGGAAGTGTGTTGTTTTATTTCCAAGTGTTTGGAGATTTACTTGCTGTCTGCTATTAATTTCTAGTTTGATTTCATTATGGTCAGAGAACATATATGTATGATTTCAATTTTTCTAAATTTGTCTAAGTTTGTTTTATGACAAAGCATATGGTCAACCTTGGTATATGTTCCATGGCCACTTGAAAAGAATGTGTATTCTGCTCTTGTTGGGTAGAGTTCTATAAATATCATTCAGATTCTGCTGGTTGATGGGTCAGTCAGTTCTTCTCTATCTTTGCTGATTTTCCGTCTAGTAGTTATATCAGTTGCTGAGAGGGGCGTTGAAGCCCCGGCTGTAACTGTGGCAGTCTGTGTGAACAAGCCTTCCAGATGGTTCTGGTCATGCTGAACTTTGAGAACAAGTGCCTTTAACTATTTGGGAGTTTCAACTTCATGAAAGAAATTATCTTCAAAGTGGAGAAAATGTGAGTTTTTTCATGATGTTGAAACTCCCTAGCTCTGGTCCTTTCTTCCAATCCTTCCTCCTGATCATCACTAGGTACATTTTCCTAAAGAAAATCCCAATCATATCACTTCTGGGGACACCTTCAATGATTTTTGCTGCCCTTGAGTTAAGCCTAACTATCTTGAGTACTGTTGCCTCCTCTTAAGCACTGTTACCCGCTTCCATCCTTTATGGGCTCTATTCTCTATCAAACTGGAAAAGTCAACATTCTATGCCCACACTGTGCCTTCCTGTCTCTGGGCTTTCTTCACGCATTTCATTTTCACCTGGGATGTTCTCTGTCCATAGTTATATCTAGTGAAAATTTCCTTGTCTTTCTGACCATTCCAAATGACACCTTCTTCGTGAGGACTTTTCTTTTCTTTTTTCATTTTTTAATTAAGATTATGATAGTTAACAACCCTGTGAAATTACAGTTGGACATTATTATTAGTCATGTTGTAGGTACACCACTTCACCCTTAGTGCCCTCCCCCCACCCCAACCCCCCCCTTTCCCTGGTAACCACCGATCAGTTCTCTTTGTCTATATGTTAACTACAACCTATGAGTGGAGTCATGCAGAGTTCGTCTTTCTCTGTCTGGATTATTTCATTCAACATAATACCCTCAAGGTCTATCCATGTTGTTGTGAATGGGACGACTTTGTCTTTTTTATAGCTGAGTAGTATTCCATTGTATATATATATACACCATATCTTCTTTATCCAATCATCAGTTGCTGGGCACTTAGGTTGGTTCCATGACTTGGCTATTGTGAATAATGCTGTGATGAACACAGGGGTGCATGGGACTCTTGGAATTGCTGATTTCAGGTTCTCAGGATAGATACCCAGTAGTGGGATGGCTGGGTCATAAAGTATTTCTATTTTTAACTTTTTGAGAAATCTCCGTACTATTTTCCATAGTGGCAGCACCAGTTTGCATTCCCACCTACAGTGTATGAGGGTTCCTTTTTCTCCACAGCCTCTCCGACATTTGCCACTCTTGGTTTTGGATATTTTTGCCATTCTAACAGGTGTAAGGTGGTATCTTAGTGTAGTTTTGATTTGCATTTCCCTGATGATTAGTGATGATGAGCATCTTTTCATGTGGCTATTGGCCATCCATATATCTTCTTTGGAGAAATGTCTGTTCATGTCCCCTGCCCATTTTGTGATTGGGTTGTTTGATTTTTTTGTTGTTAAGCTGTGTGAGTTCTTTATATATTATGGAGATTAACCCGTTGTCAGATAAATAACTTGTAAATATTTTTTCCCAATTAGTGGGCTGTTTTTTTGTTTCAATCCTGTTTTCCCTTGCCTTGAAGAAGCTCTTTAGTCTGATGAAGTCCCATTTGTTTATTCTTTCTATTGTTTCCCTTGTCTGAGGGGTTATGGTGTCCGAAAAGATTCTTTTGAAACTGATGTCAAAGAGTGTACTGCCTATATTATCTTCTAGAAGACTTATTGTTTCAGGCCTAATCTTTAGGTCTTTGATCTATTTTGAGTTTATTTTAGTGAATGGTGAAAAAGAATGGTCAATTTTCATTCTTTTACATATGGCTGTCCAGTTTTCCCAGCGCCATTTGTTGAAGAGACTTTCTTTTCTCCATTGTAGGCCCTCAGCTCCTTGTCGAAGATTAGCTGTCCATAGATGTGTGGTTTTATTTCTGGGCTTTCAATTCTGTTCCATTGATCTGTGCACCTGTTTTTGTACCAGTACCATGCTGTTTTGATTACTGTAGCTTTGTAGTATGTTTTAAAGTCAGGGATTGTGATGCCTCCAGCTTTGTTCTTCTTTCTCAGGATTGTTTTAGCAATTCAGGGTCTTTGTTGCCCCATATGAATTTTAGGATTCTTTCTTCAATTTCTGTAAAGAATGTCATTGGGATTCTGATTGGGATAGCGTTGAATCTGTAGATTGCTTTAGGTAGTATGGACATTTTAACTATGTTTATTCTTCCAATCCATGTGCATGGAATGTCTTTCCATCTCTTTATGTTATCATCGATTTCTTTCAAGAAAGTCTTGTAGTTTTCATTGTATAGATCTTTCACTTCCTTGGTTAAATTTATCCCAAGGTATTTTATTCTTTTTGTTGCGATCGTGAATGGGATTGAGTTCTTGAGATCTTTTTCTGTTAGTTCATTGTTAGTGTATAGAAATGCTACTGATTTATGTGTGTTGATTTTATACCCTGCAACCATGAGGACTTTTCTTAATATGTGAATACGTAATTTCTCCCTTCTCAGCATCCCCATGGCAGTTTGTTTACCTCTCTCTTTTCCATTTTCCACATTATTCTTCTTTAGGGTTAGTTGGGATTTTTTCTTCTCTTTCCTGCTGGGTTGCAAGTTGAAGGCAAGGACTCCATCCTTATACTTCCTTCAGCATCTCACATGGTTCCTTAAAATACTTAAAAAGTATCTATTGAATTGAATTTTCTGGACAACTAAGGACACAATGTTTCATTGCTTTGTTCCTCTGAAATTAAAGAGATTTCTAAATAAGTTAAAAGAGTTTCTCCTTTGAAGAATCCCGAAAGTAAAAGATGTTTCTTTTTTGATGAAGTAGAGGTCATTGGAAATTTATGATGCTTCTGAAGTGGCCTTTAAATATATTTTCCGTAGTAGCACCATAATAAAATACAGAGAAATATGAGTATTACAGTCAATGCCCATAGTGACTCTAACTTCTAAGTGTGTGTGTCTCTACACCCTCTTTTCCATTCCCACTGCCTCTCCCACGGGCTGGTGCCAGTGATCTGTTCTCTGGACTATTGCAGTGTTGCCCAAACTTGCCTGGCCACAAGGACTGCATGGAGCACCCACTGAAATACAGATTCCTTGGCCACACCCAAGAGCTCCAAAGAAAGGTCTGGGAATTTATATTTTCAACAAGTATCCCATGTGATTCCAATGGTCAGGCTACTGCCTTCTGATAGTTACAATTTCTCATCTCCAAATCCATGGTTCATCTGTCATGTTGCTTAATTATCAATCAAATTGCCAACTATTTCCATAAAAGATTTGTAATTGAGGGGATAGTGTCTCTGCTTGATTATCTAAATGAAAGGGACCTTCATAGTGGCCTGGTATATTTATCAATCATAGAATGCTTTAGTGTCCTCAATATGAGCATGAAAAGTGCTATTACTTTCCCCTATGCAGAATAAGATATTGGATATTAAGAGAGCAAAAGAAAACAAGTTTTTACAGCATGATATAGAAATGCAGCAGGAAGCAATATGGCACCACCTTGTCTGTGCTTTAGCACAAACTGTTTTATACTGAAGAACAGACGCAAAATAATTTCTTTCTTTCTTTCTTTCTTTTTTTTTGAGGAAGATTGGCCCTGAGCTGACATCCATGCCCATCTTCCTCCACTTTATGTGTGGGACGCCTACCACAGCATGGCTTGCCAAGCAGTGCTATGCCCGCACCCGGAATCCATACTGGCAAACCTTGGGCCACCGAAGCAGAATGTGCCAACTTAACCGCTGCACCACCGGGCTGGCCCTGCAAAATAATTTCAGGAGCTTCTGGGAATGTGATGGACAGGATGCTTCAACACATTTGGTGCTCTGTAGTATAAAAGCTAGCTAACTGCAAACAGTAGGAAGGAATTACAGCTATAGTAAATAGTATGCTATAATGTCTACCAATGTTGACATGCAATTGCCAAGTAGCAAGTAGCATAAAACATCATAACAACATTACTATCTTAGCTTTAGAGTCTAAAGAAACTTTAGAAAGTATCTCATTTAATCCTTACATTTTATATACAATAAATAAAAATAGCAAATACTTGAGTTGTTATATCATGACAGACACTGTTACAAGTGCTTTGACCATACAACATCATTTAATCTCACTGCCTCTGAGGTAGGTTACTATTATTGTTTACAGATAAGGAAACAGAATAACAGAGAGGTTAAGTCGTTTGCCCAAGATCACACAGCTAATGCCTGGTAGATTTGAGCTTAGGAAGTCCGACTCCAGAGGTCTAATTTTTCAATTGCTACCCTCTATGGGAACTTTCTATCTGGAACTTTCACATTTAAGATGCTACTAGAATGTACATATTATTTTACAGTTTATTTTAAAACTAATCATTACAAGCCATTATACATCGTCCCTCAACTCAAAGAAATATTAAAACTTTTTGCATCATGTTTCCTTTTTTAGTTCTTTTGCAAAAGAGCATGAGCAAGAACATCACTTTTCTTTTGGAATGAAATGTGTGTTTGGCGAAGGGAAGGAGTTTGGACACCCTGCATGTTTATTTCTCAGTCTTGTCACAAACATCAGTATATAGGATAAAAAACAATGCTGCCAAACACTCACCATCAGAGAATGCCTCAAGCAGAGCGATACTGGGGCAAAAAGCTAGTTGTCAATTTTGATAGAATGTAAAAGATTTTAATGCCTTTAGATCCATAAGCACCAGGAAGTGGCAAAATGGCAATCATAATAGAACAGAAAAACACAATTCTGATACGTTCCAAGATTGGTAATCGTGTCTGAAGAACTAGGAAGTGGTAAAAAAAGAGAAGAGTTTAAAAAAACACAAATTCTGAAGTGATCCAAAAGTTCTAATTGTGTCAGATTTTATGTAATTTTGGTTTTCTTTAGTAGATAATGTATACTTAATAAACATACACAAATATTTATGATCATATATTGGTTGGACAGAAGACTAAGAAGGAAATGCATAGTTTTCAGCGTATTACTATGGTTATCCATTACCAGGAGCATGCATGGAAGCGCAATGTTACTCGTGAAGCAAAAGCAACGTGATTTTTGCCCCAGCTGGTTCTGTATCAAACAAACGCTGCTGGCAGCAGTAATAATGACGTGAACATAAAACCTTCTTTGTCTAACATTCCTGACAAATGCTTGATTGTCCAGGAGAAGCCATTTGTATTTTTCTGAAATCTTGCAGGATGCCGTGTCACTATTTTTCATGAAGAATTGTCTTTGCCGGGTGTAGGTGTTCTCTAACGCATGTCTCCAAGGGCTGATTTCTCTACAGATAATCAGCACACGGATCCTCCGAACCAGCAAAGCAGCGTTGACTCCTCAAACCAACGACACGCCTGCGGGCTCTGGGTGAGTGAGCTGTGAAATCAAGGGCGGAGGGAGGGCAAAGGCGGCCAACGGAACACGCTCAGGGGCTGCTTTCTCCCTCAGACTCAATAATACCCTTGAAGTGGTGGCTTAACATGTTGGAAACGATGTGAAACTTTAAGAGCAACAAGTCAAATACATGGCGAGGCTCCGGGGATTTGTAAACGATACGGCCCTTTCTAGTGCACATTGCCAGGTCCTCAGTTCGAATGCAGCTGTGCTCAGCCCTTCCTACAAGTTATTGCACAAGAGGGCTTCCGAGGCCGGGGGGAGCTGGGGCAGGTGCTCTTGGTTCGCTTGCAGTCAGCTGGGTCGCTGAAATCCCGGCGAGAAGGACCAGCAGTTCAGGCAGCACTCGGAGACACTCGAACTCTCCAGAACTCCCCGGGTCGGCTGACCCCTGCTGCCTGCCATCCGCCTTCTTAACGCCTACCCCGGGGTTCTGCAGGCCCATGACGTGTGTTGGGAGAAAGCCTGTCCTGTGACTGTGTGAACTACACCGACTCTGTCAGTCCAGAGGGAAATCTTTCATCCGTGAAGCCAGCTGCTGAGAATCGTGCTGGTGTATCCAGGGCTTGGCTTCCGGTTTGACTCCATGTCTCTGAAAAAGTCACGTAGCTCTGAGTTTCCTCAGGCCCCTGTCCCACCCCAAAGCACCAAGAGGACCCCAGGGTGTTACCTCCGGGAGGGTCCTGGTGCTGGCTGGCTGCAGGGAAATTTACGTAAAAGTACATCCTACGTTCCCAGAGCCTCGGAGTCTGCACACGCTATCCAGGACTGCAACTGTGTTGGGACCTAGTACGCAGGACTAGCTTCCCATGAAATAAAGAACAGTTTTTCAAAGACAGAAAAGGAATCACATTCTGGCCAGTCAGGTTAGGATTATACTATCCAAACCAGCCCTGCGTAGAGGCAGGTATCGGCTGCCTGATCCACTTGAGTTGGAAAATGGATACCCAGGACGCTCTGTTTCCATGACCTGCAACCAACTCCTCCATCCACCGAGGATCCAACGGAGATGCTGGGGGCTGACAGGCGGCGGCTGTGGCTGGGCAGAAACCTGTGGCTGGGCCCGGAATTCTGGGAGCTTGGGTTGAAGTCCTGGATCTGCCAAGAATAATCCTGGCTAGTGCCAGATCCTCTTTAGAACCTCGGTTTCCCCATCTATAAAAATGGAACCTTACAATAGGAGGGCTTCTGAGCTATGGTTTGGTTTCCAAGATGCTATTTTTAAAACATTTGAATTCTTCGTAAGACAGCAATTATCAAAATATAAATCACTGTGACTGAAACATTAACAGTAATTAAATTATATTGGTTCACAGTGAAAGAATAAAATTTGTTCGTTCTGTAGAAAACCAGGGATATGTTTATAACTTTAAAAAGCAAAAACCACAATGGCATTTAAATTAAGAATGCTTTGTAAACTGACAAAGACTGCAGAGAAAATAGCGAAAGTAGCTGTGTGAGTGGGAGAAATATGGGTGTGGCTTTTTATGTCAATTTCTTCTAACATTTTATTTATTGTGTCCCTTATTTTTTTCAACAACTAAAAACAGACTTCCAAACAGCTTTTATCTTTAAATTTGTTTTATGGAAGTAGTCACCCTGCCTTTAGAAAAACTTTATTAGGCTGCACTTACTACATTATCTAGAAAATAGGGCATTTATATGCATAAAGATCCACCTTCCCCTGCAAAACCACACAAAACAAAAAATATAGGTGTCTGATTTTGTCAGCCCCTAAAAGTACAGGAGGCAGAGACAGTAACTGTAGGAGGATGGCATGTTACTTTACCATAACACAGCAGAAACCCTAGATGAGAAGGAAAGTGCTATTTATCAACCCCCTGAGAGCTATGATTCTGTGGATTCTCATGTCTTCAGAGTTACTGGAGTTTAGATAATTCCAGCATTTGATTCTTTATCTTAGAACTTCACCTTTGGAAAGCTTTTTAGTAAAACTAAGAAGTAGAGTCTAGAAGGTAGGAGCCTGATGGGGAAAAAAGATAAGTGAGTAGAACATAAGGAATGTCTACACTCCAAATAGCAACAGAAGGCGGGGAAATGTGCAGATTCAAAGGGAATCCTGAGGGTCGAGATGCTCCTCATTTTCACACCCGTTGACTTGTTTGCAACTCTCAGCCTTGGCAACACCACATGATTTCTTTTTAGTATCTTTCCAAAAATGCCATTCCAGGTCAGGAATTCATTTGTCTGATTTCAAACTACAAATTGAATAGCAAATAAAACAGAAGTCTGGATGACAATATTTGCATTAATTATAATTGTTTTCACCTTGAAGGAGTAGCTTCCTTGCTCGCTCTGTTTCTGTCTCTCTGCTATGTATGCATGCATGTATTTATTATTAGGCACCTCTCTTTGTAGAAAACATAATCACCGCTTCTTAGCGTTAAAGTGAACCAGAATATTAGCGAGTGTGAAGGAGGCAGCATTTCTTTCTTTTTTAAAATTCAAAAGTGTTCGAAAACCAGTCTGGGTTTCTAAGGTTAATGGGAGGACAGAGAAGTATGACTAGCATTCATACCGAAACCTACCCCATTCTAGGCTCTGTGCTCTGTGCTTTAAATGTTTCATCTCATTACCCCTCATGCCAACCTCTGAGATAGATAGTGTTCCCCCCAGTATACAGATGAGGTGACTGGCTCAAGGTCGTAGAGCTCAGAGTCAAGCTACATCTGAAATGATAGCTAGGTGGAGATTTTACACTCTATGGTTTATGAGAAAACAAGTAGCTTTCTTTATTTTAAAAAATGGATATCTTGCTCTTAAGACACCACTCAGCTGCTGATGGAAGAAAAATGTGTATTTGTCAATTACAGGGAACTTGAAAGAAAATGATTTCTACTGGAAAAGACTGCTTGAAATCAGAAGAGACAACCTTACCTTAGCACGTCAGACTTATGCATGATGAAGAAAGTTACGGTCATCGCACATTTGAGCCCTAGTGTATGAATTCTGCCTTGGGTATGTGGGAGATTGTGGGTGGAAATTGTGGGCAGAACTTCCTCATAGAAGGGCCCTACTTTCCTCACCACTCCCCACTGCAGCCTGGCTTGCCAACCCGCCTTCCCCCGAGTCAGAGGCTCCCAAAGCACCCTGTGCTTCTCATTTGCAGAACCCATCGCCCTTCTAGTTATTCCCTTGCCATTTATCTTCCTAGCTGGGCTGGGGGCTCCTGGAATGCTGGGGTGGTCTCTCTCCTTCACCGTCCAATACCCTGCATGCAAGACCTGAGGCAAAGCTGCACGTGGAGGCCCTGGGCCTTAGTCCACCCCACTTTCTCCTCCGACCTTGCACACCCCAGCCTTACACACTCAAGCTCCATCCTCCCCCACCCCACCATAGCTAGTCCTTTGCCTCCTCCCCAGGGCCATTTGGACAGGGAATTCTGGAGTCTTGAGCATCTGCATCATGGCTTCAAAAGGGGGGAATGGGCCACAGTCAGCTCTCTAGATTGTGGGGCCCAGGGCAGGAGTAGTGGTTGCCTGGGTGTAAGGGGAATGTTGCCAACACACAAGAAACATTGTTGAATGGATGATTAACAGTTACTATGCTGAAGCGCTGCCACAGACAGATAGCATTAAGCCGGACCTCTGGGGGCCCTGAAAACGGGAGGCTAGGCAGCAGGTTCCCCTGGAAGAGAGGGCAGTCTGAGGACAGGCAATGTAGAGTCTGGATGAAACACTCACTGTAGCTTATTGTACTCTTGCTATTATTTTTCGTTACTTTTCTGTAAACTTTAAGGGCATTCGTTGCAGAGAAAGTTCCATCTACCTGGGTGTCTATTTAATAAAGAGATAATCTCAGGACTTCTCAGAAATGACTCAAACCAACAGAAGTTGGACACCCTGAGAAATAACCTGGCCCTCAAGTTCTTTCCCTGTCTGTCACCAGTCATTCCGAGATCCACATAGCATTTCTAACTCATTCTTCACAATGTATACAAAGTGTAGATTACAAACAAGATTGCAAGGCAAGGTAAATTCTGTGTTGTTTACCTGGCAGGTAAACTATGGGGTGGAGGCCAATTTGTCTTCATAAAACAAATATAAAATCCAAACAGAAATGTTTGCTATATGAAAACAAAATCATCTCTCTTACAACGGGACCAATGCTATGAGCGGTTTTGAAGTTAAAGTTCGGGAATAGCGTGAAAACGGACTGCTGGGAGAATCTTCACGGAGCAGCACAGAAAGTTCCTGGAGATGAATCAGAACTCCGTTTGTTTTCCTCAATTCTTTTATCTTAAGGATACAAGAATGATTCTGAGAGATTTAGACTGTGCCTCACTGTAAAAGGAGAAAAAGAAAAGGGGGGGTGTATGTTCAGTAGACAGGAACTCCATTAAAGAACGAATTGACAATTACTTAGAAGTCAGGAAGCCAATTTTAAAATCAATATGTTGCTTGAGAAGGATAACATGATGTAGTGTCAAAGTAGGAAGCATTATCAAAGCTACACGTACTTTGCATCGGTCCTTAAGGAGTCCTGGTCAATGCTGAGACAGCTGAGAAAGGAGATCTGAAAGCAGAGTTACAACCTGACCAAAATCTTTACACTCTACAGACCAAACCGTACAATACAGAGTGAAGCCAGAGGCAGGTGTGAGTTTCTTTTATACTCACATTTGCTTGGTTTTAATGCAACTGTAAAAGAACACCCCCATCCGTGCTCTGCCCCCATCCCTAGAATAAATAGCATAGCTACAAACAAGAACAACCACGGAATTGGGTCCCTTGCGTCCCGCTCAGATTCTTGGTGGCACTGCAAAAGGAAATTTTGAAGGTTATTAAAGGGGAAGCTGAAAACAAAGGGAGATTCAAAATAAATTGCATGAAATGAATTTTCCTCATCTCTGCTTTAGTTTGTGAGAAATTCAGCGTCATCCACCGATGTACATCATTGAAGAATAATTTCAACTTGTTCATCTGAGGGAGCAGAAATATATTTAATTTGTGGAAGAATTAGCCGTAATTTGCAGTACCGTTTTCACATTGAGGAGGTGCTCAGCAAAAGTGTACTCTGGGAGGAAGGAAAGGCAGATGGCTGGAATGGAACGATGAAGAAGGAACCAAGGTTCTCTCTTCAATGTTTGGTACAAAGCCTTTTCCCATTCGTTTTAAATTACTAAGAAAAGTAAACATTTTGGTAAATGCTTCAGAGAGATTTATAGGTGACCCTAAATGCAATCTACTTGGTGACTGACTCAATTTTAATTCCTTTGGTTCTTGGTTGCAGAAAGGGCAACATTGTTACCACTTGCCTGGTCAAAGGTTACACTTCCTGCCCTCCATCAACCCGGCTGGGACATCTGAGTGTTTTTAGATACTAGTCAGGTCACCTTCCAAAGAGAATCACTCACGCTAACCATCTGATTAAGGGGCCTCTGTAATGAATGCTGTTGCCGGGTATGCAATTAGCCGGCCTCTAGCTTTCCTGGTGTAATGAAATGCGTGTTAGATGCCCATCCGTGTGAGCAAAGGCACCTGAGAGCTTAATAGGACATTAAATAGCCATCCATCCCTTTTAAAATTTTTATTTTAACTACATTTTAATTACACTTTTTTTAAGTGTAATACAGTTTTTGTGTTCACATCTTGGGGAATTTGGAAACTCATAGTTTAGGTCATTGTTTCTCCCTCTGAAGAGGGTTCCACATATACAGCTTTAATCATCCACTTCCAATACAACATTAATGCCCGTGGCAGTGTTGTGGGCTCTCTTTCCCTAAGGTGTCCACTAACAGAGACGCCTTCCTGAGTGGTCACAAAGCCAAGCCCTGTCTTCAGTTTTTTACTTCCTGAAGACTCGTAATTCTTTCTTTTTCACACACGAGGAAACTGAAGCACAGAGAAGTTACTTGTTTAAGCCAGGGGGTGGCAGAGCCTGGATTTGGACCCAGGCAGCCTAGAAGCTGTGTACTTAATCATGACCCAGGTTGGACCAGAGCAAAATAGTGAAGCTCTCAAAAGTTCTGGGATCTCCAAAAGCCTCGTTCTGCTTCTTTGCTCAGAAGCATCCCTCTCCTGGCCCTTGGACACTAGCATGCTGACTCTAACCACGACTCCAACTCAAAGCAGAGATCTGCCATCTTAACCGACGCTCTCCTAATCTCAGCATGTGCGTCAAGGTGGCACGTCTCGCGAGTGTTCTCTTGTTAGCCTGGCCAATCCAGCCTGCATCTCCCAGCTGCAGTAATTAGTTCACGGATGGGCCCATGACCCAAGCTAGTTCCATCAGAGGTCATCTAAGTCCTTTGTTTTGAAGTCCAGAGAAAGGAGGCTGGTTTTTCCTGCTAGACTTGAACCTGGGAGGCACGAGCAGATGCCCCATCATGGACCATGTGGCTTGAAAAGGGCATCAGCAGTGGAAAGAGGGCAGAGCCCAGCCAAGAGCCAGAGAGGGCTGGGTCCTGGAGACATCCTTGGGCTCCAATCCAGCTGAGTCTGACGCTAGTTCTGCTCTGGCCTTCTCAGCTTTGGCCCCATTAATTCCCATCCTGCTGAAGCAGTTTGCATTGGACTTTCTGACACTTGCCTCAGAAAGGAGTCCTTCTGATGAAAATAAAAATGTTATCCAGTGGCAGAGAGAAGGCACTGTGAGCCTTCAAAGAAGTGGGGACAGGGTGGGTGCTGTGGGAGAGTAGGGTGAGTTGGAAGGGAATTAGTGTTGGAAAGCTACAACACTGGCATTTATTGTCTCATTTAATGCCCCCAGTGATCTTGCAAAGAAGGTGGCATTATCTCCAGTTCACAGATGAGGAAACTGAGGCACATGGAAGTAAGTAATGTCATCCATTTTACACTGTTTCTAAGTGGCTGATCTGGCTTTCAAACCTGGGCCCATCTGGCTCCAAAGGCCACAGGTGACTTTCTGCCAATCGAGGCTACTCCATAAAGTTCTGCGTAAAGTGGAGGACAAGGGGAGTGGAATTATCTAAGGTGCTCCTCATTAGACGTGCCATGACCATCTTCAAAGCACTCAACAGGTTGTCTCAATTGTTGAGTCGAGTGGTTGAGGTGGGTGGGTGGGTGTTGTGTCCAATTCTTGGAGATGGGCTCCTGTCATTAGGGTAGACAGAATTTGGGCTAAAACTTTGATTGTGGAGATTGAGAGGAAGAAGATGACTATGAAAATGTGATGCATTCAACGCAGTAGTATTTCACAACGGTCATAGAGGATGCATAGAAGACAATGCGGGCTCAACATGACTCTTGGCCTTTTTTTTGGCCTGGGATGAGTCAGACATGCCACTCTTGCTATCGTAATGAGGAAGTAGGGCACTTTGGTCAATTGGGGAAGGAAGAGGAAAATTGCTTTATTCTCCACAGTTAATTAATGATTAATTAATGATGATTTGTTGAACAACATTTTACCTGTTGTACTATGAGTACAGTTCTGTACTAGGTGCTTTCAGAATATCAAATAAAAGGACAATTTTTAAGTCAGTCAAAATGCACAGAACAATTAAATAGCAACACATGAACAAGAGAAGATAGAAATGAATGTGTATTTATGTTCAGAGTACGTCACAGATAACAGGAAGGATAATGGGTTAAGGGGCGCTGGCCAGAGGCAACTTTTTGGATCCCTTAAATTTTGAGCTAAGTTCCTAAGAGTTAACATGACCTGTAGAAGAGTGTGGGGAAGATATGTTTTGGTCAGAGCAACACAATGGCTCTGCTGAGCAAGAGAAGGCATAGCCGGGTCTCTGGTGTCAGGGTGATGGAAACTAGGGTGGGGGACCAGCCTGGTGGCGTAGTAGTTAAGTTTGTGCACTCTGCTTCAGCAGCCCAGGGTTTACCTGTTTGGACCCTGGGCACAGACTTACACATTGCTTATCTAGTCACGCTGTGGCAGCATCCCACATACAAAATAGAGGAAGACTGGCACAGGTGTTAGCTCAGCAATAATCTTCTTCAAGCAAAACAAGAGGAAGATTGGCAACAGATGTTAGCTCAGGGCCAATCTTCCTCATTAGAAAAAAAAAAAACTGGGGTGGGAGCCAGGTTTACAATGTACCTATATGAACAGTCGGAAAAGCAGGCCTATCATGAGGTCGTTGATAAAGCCCTGGACGTTAGGAGGACCTTGCCTAGGATGGCAACTGGGAAAATATGGAAAAGGTGAGTCTAAAGAAATGCAGATGACCTTTCTGGCTCTGTTGCCCAAGCAGACTGTGTTACATTGGGATGTGAATCAGACAGGGTCTTATTCATCTTCCCTTAGAGTCTGGCACTCGGGGGGTGTTGATACTTGTTTATTGAATGAGGGAGTGAAGGAAGGAAGGAAGGGAAGAAGGAAGGAAGGAAGGAAGGAAGTCGGCTACACTGGGAGGATGCTTCAGCAGCAGGAGCAAGATAATAGCTATTGATCAGTGGCTGGAAGCTATGGAGAGTTCAAGAAGATTCTGAATGGAGTAGAGCCATTTTTCTTTACAGCAGTGAAGAAGTTATTAACTAGATGGGAATTGTGGTTTCTTTTTGTGGTGGCGCAGGTGGAAGTTAAGCTGGAGAGGATGCATCTTTCTGACTCAATTGGACGGACTGTTTATACCGGGTCTTGAGCTTCCCCGCCAATCAATGTTGATATTTTTAAGGCTCCCTGGCTTCCTCTCTCACAGAAATAAGACACATCAAGAGCCAAATTCCAGGTGCCTTGTTCCTCATAGATATACTTGTTTTGGTATAAAGGTTATTTTGCCTGGAATTCCTAAGTATTCTTTAACTCTTCTTCCCAGCCTTAGCAGTGTTTTCTTTAACCCGCTTAGAGTCCTTTCAGACTTGCCTTCTCTTTTCAAAGGGCACTTTGCTTTTCTCCATTTTCTAATACACCTGAACAAATCGATTAAAAGCAAAAGTCATTTTTTGGTTTCCAACAGATTTTACAGGAGGTTGAATCTCTTCCTATATGCATCCTAAATCAACAGACTCTCCCTTCATCTTTCCTTGTTCCTCCCAATGCAGGAAATTGTTCTGGTAAATGGAGTCCTTCTCCCATAACGCCTGGACTGGCCACAGCCACAGGGTCCTCTGATCCTTCCCCAGGCTTATGGCTCTGTGTATGGGGCTCTGTACTGCTCCAGTGATCCCAGGAAATGAAATTCCTTTCCCAAGCTGGAGCCCCCGAACTTACCTCTTTCTTCTTGCATTACTTCATAGATAGATAATCTGCGTTAATTCCTTCAGGGTTCTTGTGCATTTAGCCCTGGCCTCTTAACTCTGCTGCTGTTCTCCACTTAAGCACCCGAGGCAAATTTCCTGAGCTCATTCCACTGCTGATCCTTATGTTCTTGCATAAAGATAGAGTTGCATTAAAGATAGAGTTTCTTTAAGTGGGATTCTTATGCACACATATTTTCTTCTGTATTCGGTTGTGGACTGTCATCCTTTTATAAGGCCAAATCCTTTCTGAGCTTTTCAAAACAAACTTTTCTTTCCATTTCTTTTAGCTCACTTTGGGAAAAGAACTCTCACAGCATTTAGGAGTGAGGATGCTTAGACTTGGGACTGAGAATGCTAGTTTTCCATTTCCCTTGTTTTTTGGGGAATAAAACAGTTTGGCACAGGAGTATTCTGAGGGCTGCCAAGAAACAGCTACTTCTATAAATCAGTCCATTAGGCCCTTAATTTCTGTGACGTTTGTCTTTCTGACTTAGTTGTAAACTTTTTGAAAGTTGGGACTGATTCTTCCTCTTTTCCTTTTCCTCCTCACTCAGAGCTAATTACCGACTGGTTCTCCATCTCTGAAGGGAGCCCTCCACCTGTGTGGCTGTCGCCCGGATTGAGGCATTTCCTAATGCCTGTGGTATAGGCTCTATGTTTGTGTGTTGAAATTAATGTCTTAAAATTAAAGCGTTCTGAGAATGAATTTATACCAATATATGGAATGTGTTGGTATGTTCACTATAATTAGGATAGTTTTGGCCACAAATATCAGAAAACCCAATTCACAGTGCTTTAAGCAATAAGTGAGGTGTTCGAAGGACATGTGCAATGCACCCTTATTTTTCTGTCCAAATTATTAATAGCACCCCTATCACTCTCGAAAGTGCCCAGATTTGAATGATAAAGTATATGGTCATCCGTATTGGTGTTCAATGACTGCCATAACAAATTACTACAAACTTAGCGTCTTAAAACAATGCAAATTTATTGCCTTACAGTATTGTAGGTTAGATGTCCACACAAGTCTCACTGGGCTGAAATCAAGGTGTCAGCAGGGCTGAGTTCCTTCTAGAGGCTCTAGGGGAGAATGCATTTCATTGCTTTTTCCCCGCTTCTAGAGGCTGCCTACATTCCTTGGATTGTGGCCCCTTCCCCCAGCAATGTCCCCCTGAGTCCTCTTCACACTACTATCTCTCTGGGCCTCACTCTGATTCCCTTTCCCACTTTTAAGGGCTGTAGTGATTACGATGGGCCCACCCAGATAATCCAGGATAACCTCCGTATTTTAAGGTCATCAGTCAATTAGTAACCTTGATTCCATCTGTAACTTTAATTCAACGTTGCACTGTAACCTAACATATTCACAGGAGCTTGGGATTAGGCCATGGACATCCTTAGGGGGCCATTATCCAGCTCACCACATCATTCTACTCATTAAGAGTGTTATTACCATAAACATCAAGAAGTCCAGAAGCAGAGCGGCTCCAGGAGGGTAAATTCACAGCTGTGCGACAGCATCATGGACCCAGGTTCTCACATCTTTCTGTTGAGCCATCTTCAGCATGCCAACTTGTCTTTTGATTTTGGGTGTGTGATGGCTGCCTCATTCTCAGGCATTGTGCAGACACAACACATCCAGCTGAAGGAACCACAGCGCACGAAGAGGCTGTTTCTTCTCATGTAATGAAAATCTTTTCAGAAGCCCCACAAGAAGATTCTTGTGCCTCATTGGCCAGGATTATGGCACACCACAGACCACCCTCGGAAACATACGGCTGAAACAGTGGAAGCCAGAGTAAGGGGAGTTTCTCAAGGGGAGGACACAGGGGGAATGGCTCCTGGGCAGGCAACTAGCAGTGTCTGTGCATTCCCAGAAAGATGGGAGCAGTGCTCGCCATTAACAAATCAGCTGCTGAGGTTGGGACGAGGGACTTTGAACCCTCAGGGCATTCTGCTGATACGCCCTAGATTCTAGTCATGAAATTCTTTGGGGTTATGAAGAGGATTATAATTTTGATTAGAGTGGTGGCTCCAGAAATCTTGAGGCATAGCAAGAGTGTTTTATGTTTTTCACAGGTGAAGGAAGTAGACCTTATGGAATAAAATGGCATGCACAGAAGGAGGGTCGGGACCATTCCCCTCACAAGTCCATCTTTTGCTTGTTCCTGAGCCTCACTGTGGCTACTTTGTTCTTTTTTACGACCCTGCCTGGAGTGGGTATGATCTTGAGGTACAAAAGCAGAACTTATCAGCATATTTTTATATTTTATAATAACCTTGCGAGTTCTCTAGGCTGTCCGTGCTTGAAGCTTCAGTAACTGTAGCAGCTAATCATCTCGTATACCTCTGTGAGATTACGCAATATTGATAGCTACAGCTGCATAATCCGGAGTAGTACATTCCAGTAAACGAACGGGCTTTATGGTCGCGTTATTATTACTGGCAGTAGGATTCTATGGTAAAGCACAAGGAGTCACAGGCAGTAAGATGCACATTGCTTCACGCCCCTGTGACAGTCTAGGTGGAATGACTCGCCAGCAGGAGTAAATGCCCACGGACTAACACACAGCAGCTCTTCAGTCCTGGGGGAAGCTGGCTGTTAATACTATAAGA